TCTTTACTTTCAGATTTATTCTGTTTATATAATAATCATATATATTGACAACAAATAATGCTCCATAGAGAGGAACTGTATTTCACTGAGAGGTGATGAGGCTACAGATATAAATGACCCTGCAACTCTAGACTCAATCACTGAACATTTTAATGAATCGTTTAATGTTTTATTGCTTTCTATGTAAGTCATAAGTTTTTATTTATTGTTGCAGGATAGAAATATGCTTAATAAATAAAAGATAAATCAACATGGAAGATTGACATGTTGAATGGAGTAAATGATAAAAAGCCCAAATTAATGAAAGAAGGAAATAAGTTTAAAGAGCAACATTTGAAGTGTGGATAGGCATAATAGAAGCAAGGATGGCTCGGGAAGATAAGAAAGCTTGGAAAGATATAATAGAAGTTTTAGTGTAAGCTAAATTTAGCTGCATTTCCTTTTTTTATCTCATGCCTTTAATTTATTTTGCCTACTAATTCTTACTGTCTTGCTGTGATTTGAATGTTTACCCCAAAAGGGAACAGTGGTCTCTCTCCCCCCCCCTGTGTTTTACACAGAGGAAGAAAGCAGAGTGTATCACAGATTCCAGAACTCTTTAAATATATAGTTTATATTAATATCCTGTAAACATATAAACTCTTTGTATATTCAACTTATGACTAGGAGGCATAGCAATTCAAGTAAAAATGATGGAGGGGGGAAATGCCTCATTTTCTTTTAAAGTGAGAATTTTCCCTGGTTTAGAGATGAGTTTTTCTCACCTGAAAATTTGACATTTCAAACTCATTTAAACCTCAATAACTTTTTTCTATGGCTATTAATCAATGCCCACTGACACATAAAATATTAAGAATGTCTCGCAAAAATTTGTGTAAGTTTAAAACTTTTAGAGCTAGCTAGGGGATATTTGTATTGTTATGGCTAGGCCCTACCAAAAGTGGCCCCTAGGTCTCGCATGGCAGCAAATAGCTTTTTACCCATTTAAAGTCTAAGAATAGATTGACATAGTTTCAGCTCCAAAACCTCTAACCTTGTTTGACTGAATAAAACTGCAGCAGCCTTATGCCCACAAGTGCCAGCTATCCTGAAAGAAACTTTGGAGTTATCAGTACTAGATGGTTTGACTAGTCTGTCATCCCTATACCCACATTGGATGACTGATTGGCATATCAGGCCTGCTGTAGACATTCACCAGAGTTTCCTCTAGCTTTGTCCTGCCCACACATAGTTCACCATTTTTTGGATTCCTCCACACACAGTCATGCTTCATCTCCCAGACAGGACAGGTGAGATGGGACGGTGATATGCCCTTTTCACTCAGCCAAACTATAATCAGTTTGATCTAGTGGTTAAGGCCTCCAGGCTAGACAGCAAAGACTGTGACTTCAATTATTATATTAGCCATGAAAACCAGCTGGATGACTTTGGACCTGTCATTCTCTTTCAGTTCAACTGACCTCACAGGGTTGATATTGTGGAGGAAACAGGAGGAAGATATGTTGGATATGTTCGCTGCCTTGAGTTATTTGTAAAAATAATAATAAAGGTGGTGTACAAATAAATAATATTGGCACAAACACATACACAATTGATGATGAGATAGCCACAGACCACCATATGCATCTAGGTGCAAAACAAAATTTACAGATCAGAGAATCTGATTCATATTTATATAGAAATTACTATCCATAATAGAACAAAAACAATAAACATTTCAAAGTAAGATGGAATTCCCCATAACCGTAACTCCATAATAATTCTCCAACAGCCATGGTGGCACAGTGATTAGATTGCAGGCTAATTCTGCTGACTGATTCTTCTGAGATTGGTAAAATGAGGACCCAGATTGTTGGGGGTCATATGCTGACTCTGTAAACTGCTTAGAGAGGGCTGCAAAGCACTGTGAAGCAGTATATAAGTCTAAGAGCTATTGCTAAAACCCCACATATTAATATGAATAAGAATAAATAAAGAACTTGGGTGGGAAAGACTAAGGAACAAGCAGTCCAACATGCACAAAACGACTGATTTTCATTGCTTTGCACACAAAAGCTATTTTCATCTCGCAGTTTCTTCCTTGGGGAAACCTCCTGCCTCATGTGCATTTAACACCCGTACAGGTAACTGTCGTATGATTTTCTGCTTAAAAAAAAAAAGAGTAAATGGCTTCAGAATTCAACAAAAATCACTTAACTTTACAAAGAGGGAGGGAGGGATCATATGAGTACGGAAAGTATTTGTTCATGCTCTCTCACTACGGTATGTCCATTTGAGAAAGTCAGGGATTTGTATACTAGAGAGACGTGGCATTAAATGCTTTTGGTATAGAAGAACTCCTGCATCAGGAAAGGAGGGAGGGAGGGAAGGAAGGAGGGAGGGAGGAAGAGACGGGGGAGGGGGGAGCAGGAGGGGGAGGGGAGAGAGAGGGAGGGAGGGGGGAAGCGTGAGGGAGGGAGAAGAAAACTGAAAAGACCAGTAACTTCTGGTCTCTCCAGATTTAAAGAGTCAGAGCTCTTCAAAATCACTTGAACTCAGAAGGTACCTTGATGGAAAAGAGCAAGGGGGGGGGGAAGAAAGCACCTATTCTGATTGGCAAATTAAGCTACACAAGAAGCTAGAAAGAGACAAGAAGAAAATGACTGCTTCACAGAGTCAAAGGAAAGGGCTTCAAACCCAACAAGTAAAACAGCCTGGGCTGACATAAGCATGACACCTCTGCTCCCCACCCCCATGTAGATCCTCAATTCCAGAGAAGTTTTCAGTTTCATTTGGAAAGCATGCTGGAAAGGCTATTCAATATGAAAGAAGTACATACTTTATGATCATCCCTCCATAAAACATGTATTTTGAAAGGGTCAGGGAGTTTGAAGAGATTTAAGTAAGGAAAAATGTATTATGTATGCTAAGAGCAAGCTCAGACTTGTTTCTCTAATGGCTGCCGAACAGGCTGATTAATATGGAATAATGTACTATATTCATATGCAGACTTTTGTGCACTGACAACAGAGCACTGTTAAGTCAGAATAACCTTGAGCCTCCTGGAGTTCACATTCTTTCTTTTTTAAATATTATTTATTATTTTATCATAAAAAATAAAATACAAGACAGTAAAACAAACAAACAAGATGAAACAAAACAAAAGCATACATTCAACCCTAATAACAACAAAAAAGAAAAAAATAGGAAGAAAAATTGATCACTGCTTTTTCTTTTCTTTCAGTACCCAGCCAGGGTGGATACCACATGTTAAATGGAGTTCACGTTTTTTCTGATCACTTTGCCCAAATCAGAATTACTGCATTATTTTTTTAAAGAGGTAAGAACTGGTTTAACACATCAGCTTTATTTTTCACAGTTTTTCACATTTGCAGCATCTCCATGATCATGTGATCAAAATTCAGATGCTTGGAAATTGGTTCAAATATGTAACTGTTTCTGTGTCCCAAGGTCATGTGATCCTCTTTTACAACCTTCTGACTGTCAATGGGGAAGCCAGATTTATTTACCAACCATATTACTAATTTACCAACTGCAGTGATTCACTTAACAGTGTGGCAAGGAAGGTCGTAAAATGCAGCAAAACTCATTTAATTGTCCCATTTAACAACAGAAATTTTGGGTGCAACTGTAGCCATAAGTCAAGGACTATCTGTAGTCACTCAATAAGATAGAAAATGGAGAACTCCAGGAGAACTTCTGTCTATTCTTAAATGATCCTAGTGCAGCAATCCTCACTTAACAAGTGCCTTTCTTAGCAATTATTTGAATTAAGATGATGTTGAAAAAGTAACATTATGACTGGCCTTCACATTTATGACTCTCTTAGCATTCCCACAGTCACACAGTGGAAATTTGGGTGCTTTGCAACCAGAAAGACTTTCACTCATGGCAGCTTTCTGCAGTCCCATCACTGCCACTTGCACATGTTACAGCCATCTTCTGACAACTGGAGCCAATGGGGAAGCCGGCAGTAAAATTGCAAGTCGCCATCATCAGATGTCATGCTTAAGGAGGACAAGGTCGTAAGCCCATGATGGCCACGTGGTGTCTTAAGGATTATGTTGCTTAGTTACGAAGTTGCCTGTTCCAATTATGGTCGTTAAGCTAGAGCACTGAAACTAAATGCCAAAGCATCTATTACAGGGGTTTTCAACCAGTGGTACGGGTACCACCTGTGGTACATTGGCACCTGGCAGGTGGTACGTGACCATCCTAGAAAAGTGGTAGTGGGGGAGGGGAATGAGCTGAACCGGTGGCAGCACCGCACAAGCCTGAGCAAGAGATGGCTGGAGCTGCAGGGCTGTCAGGGCTCAGCGGAAGCGCCAGGATCAGCACCAGGCTCCAGCTAGAGCTTGCACTGATCCTGGCGCTTCTGCTGAGCCCTGAAGAAGCACCAATCAGCTGGAATGTTGCAGCATCTCCAGGGTCTTGTGATTTACATTTAGATGCTTGGCAACCGATTCATATTTATGACGGTCACAGTGTCCTGGGGTCATGTGAAGTGACCAAAATCTGCTGCAACCACCCAGTAGACAGGGAATAAAAACCAACACCCCCCCCCCACCCCTGCTGCCAATCCTCAACAACAATGCTCACAACAATGACAACCTTGGACAGGAGGAAGAGCGTCGCCGGGCAGGCAGGCAGGTGTCTTGCTCGGCTGTGGCTTGGGGGGCACTTTTTTCAGTGCCATAGTAACTTAGAACAGTCACTAAGTGAACTTTTGTAAGTCGAGGATTATCTGTACTTTATCACTTTTTTCCTTTTGGGGGGGGTCATCAAGTTTTTGACACCTTGCTAGGCGACTGGTGGTACTTGGATGTTGCCATATCCTAAAAGTAGCACAATGGGTGAAAAGATTGAAAAGCCCTGATCTATTAAGCTCCGCCTACGGTATCATCAAGAATTAAGCAAATGCCTCATTGGAACGTCCATACTTATTACAATGCTTCTGCACGCGGGTACCGGAGCGCGCGCCCTACCTGTTCCCCGCTCACCTTGAAAAGCGCGTAGTGAAGGTACTGGTAAGGAATGCGCCGCTGAAAGTCTCGCAAAGTCTCGGTCGGCGGGTAGGTGAGCTGAAAGACAGGAAGATAGCCCTTACATCTCCGCAGGCAGGAGGCGCGCTGGAGGACGAGCCCGAAGAATTCCATTTCCTGGTCCTGGAGCCACTCGCCGGGCGTTCCCCCTGAGGCATTTACGCCGCATCCCGCGCTGTCTTCAACCTCTGCAAGTGAATCGCCTTTCAGAAGCCCCGACGGCGACGGGCCGGTCCACGCGCCCTTTGCAAGTTCTGCAAAAAGTGGGCCAGCGTCTAACTTTTCGCTCCCCGCGCATTCCTTATGGCAGTGCGCCTCACTGTCTTGGAGCAAGCGATGAAGGCGCAAACTCGCCTCCAAGTAGCGGATGCTCTCCCTCCAGTTCTCGCCCTCGTACTGCTCTAAGGCATAGGCGTATGCGCTCTGCAGAGGCATCAGCTCAGCTTCTGGAAAGCCGCGGAAGCTATATTTTTCGTATTGCGCGCCGACTGTAGGCGCCGACGCTATTAAGAGTAGGAGAGGCAGCAGGAACCCCCATCGTCTCCGCTCCATGCCGTCCCTGCGGCCGGCGACTCTGTTCCTCTGACCAGACCACCTATTTGGAGGCCCATCAGGAGTCTCTGGGAAGCAGGGGGAAGGCAGACGGGACAAACTCATTTGGATTCCGCAGGGTCTTAAGCGCGCTCTCATATAGTCCCTACGCTAAAAGAGGGACCCACATCCAGTAAAAGTGAAAAACGTCTGGTGTGTTTGTTTTTAATTCCATGAGTAAAACGAGGCAGGAAAAATGTGATTGTTTGGCTTCATTATGAGCCAAACCAAAATGCACTTTAATCCCAAATGCACTAAACTAAAAACCAACTTTCTTCAGGCCTCAGGGAAGACACACAAAATGTGTGAAATATCTATCACTTTTTCCAAAAAATCAAAATAAGATAGAACAGTTAAAATAAATATAAAACTGAAGCAAGCCAGCTGTAAGATAGAAACAATGACAGAGAACAAGATGAAAGTCAATATTCCCAGAAATCTGAAGATGTACACTTGAACCATCTTTAAGTATGTTAGATTATAATAAGTTAATTGGCAATACAGATTGGGAATGATAGGAGATTCTAGGCTGATACATGATTAGTGAGACGTCATTCTTTTCAGCTTCTTTTTTCTAATGGGCTTCCAACCATGTCTCGGCTTCAATTATGCTTTTGAGAATTCAAGATGGACTTGCCAGAAGCAAAATATATTTTTAATACAACACAAATTGAAGAGCCAGAGGAGAACATAAGAAACAAGATAATTTTAAATCATTCTTGTATGCTTCATAAACTTTACAATGTAACTTTTGAAATAAATTGTCATATGAATATATTTTTGCAAATATCTTAAATTACAAATTGTAAATCAGCATACATAATATTTTCAAGTGGTATTCTCTCATTGTGGAGCTAATTTAGCATAACTATCCTGCCATAAAACAAAAAATTTCCAGATGTAAAGACCAAAGTTGGAGTAGTTATATGCATAGCCAACTTCTCTTATTTAAAGCATTGCAAATTCTATTGTTTCACTTCGACTTAAAAGTAATAGAAAACAGTTTCTGGCATTACTAAACCAACCCAAATAAAATCAAAACATGTGGGTGAGAGTGGATATATTGGATAACTACAACATATGAATTTACATGCCTTCTATAAGCTGTTAAAATTGGCCTAACAACTCTATCTTAACCGTATAATGGCACACGAAAAATAAAATAGGTGCATACCATTCAGACCTCCTTCATGGATTACTGCCTTGTAGTGGCGAAGGGGCTTGCATAACTCAATGAAGCTATAAGCTATGTCGTGCAGGGCCATTCAAGACGGACAGGTCATAGCAGAGAGTTCTGATAAAATATGATCCACTGGAGAAGGAAATGGCAACCCACTCCAGTATCTTTGCCATGAAAACCCCATGGATAGTAACAAAAGGCAAAAAGATATGATGCTGGAAGATAAGCCCCTCATGTCAGAAGGTGTCCAATATGCTACTGGGGAAGAGCAGAGAGCTAGTACTAGTAGCGCCAGAGAGAGTGAAATGACTAGGCCAAAGCCGAAAAGATGCTCAGCTGTGGATGCATCTGGTAGTGAAAGGAAAGTCCGATGCTGTAAAGATCTTTTCTCCATAGGAACCTGGAATGTAAGATCCATAAATCAAGGCAAACTGGAAGTGGTCAAACAAGAGATGACAAGACTGAACATCAACATCTTAGGAATCAGCGAACAAAATGGACAGGAATGGATGAATTTAATTCAGAGGACCAGGTATACTACTGCAGGCAAGAATCCCTCAGAAGAATTGGAGTATCCTTCATAGTCAATAAAAAAGTAGGAAAAGCAATACTGGGATACAATCCCCAAAATGATAGAATGATCTCAGTGTGAATCAAGGCAAACCATTCAATATCACAGTAGTCCAAGTCTATGCCCCAACAACTGGTGCTGAAAAGGATGAAATTGACCGGTTCTATGAAGCCCTACAGCACCTTATAGAATCAACACCAAAAATGATGTCATCATCATGGGAGATTGGAATACTAAAGTAGGAAGCCAAAAGATAACTGGAATAACAGGCAAGTTTGGCCTTGGAGTACAAAATGAAGCAGGGCACAGGCTGATAGAATTTTGTCAAGTCATAGCAAACACTCTTTTCCAACAACCCAAGAGACGGCTCTACACATGGACATCACCAGATGGTCAACACAGAAATCAGATTGACCGTTTGCAGCCAAAGATGGAGAAGCTCTATAGAGTCAGTAAAAACAAGATCAGGAGCTGACTGTGGCTCAGATCATGAACTTCTCGTTGCAAAATTTAGGCTTAAATTGAAGAAAGTACAGAAAAACACTAGGCCACTCAGGTATGAACTAAATCATATCCTTGATGAATATAAAGTAGAGGTGACAAATAGGTTTAAGGAATTAGATCTGATAGACAGAGTGCTTGAAGAACTATGGACGGAGGTTCGCAACATTGTACAAGAGGTAGCAACTGAAAGATAGACAGAGTGCTTGAAGAACTATGGACGGAGGTTCGCAACATTGTACAAGAGGTAGCAACTGAAACCATCCCAAAGAAAAAGAAATGCAAGAAAGCAAAATGGCTGTCTGAGGAAGCGTTGCAAATAGCTGAGGAAAGGGAAGAGAAAGGCAAGGGAGAAAGAAAAAGATACACCCAATTGAATGCAGAATTCCAGAGAATAGCTAGAAGAGATAAGAATGCCCTCTTAAATGAACAGTGCAAAGAAATAGAAGAAAACAACAGAATAGGGAGAACCAGAGATCTCTTCAAGAAAATTGAAGATATGAAGGGAACATTTCATGCAAAGATGGGTGTGATAAAGGACCAAAATGGCAGGGATCTAGCAGAGGCAGAAGAGATTAAGAAAAGGTGGCAAAATTACACAGAAGAACTATACAAGAATGAGCTTAGCATCCCTGATAACCATGATGGGGTGGTCACTGATCTCAAGCCAAACATCTTAGAATATGAAATGAAATGGGCCTTAGGAAAGTTAAGCAACAACAAAGCTAGTGGAGGTGACAGTATTCCAGCTCAGCTATTCAAAATCTTAAAAGATGATGCAGTAAAAGTGCTAGACTCAATTTTCTAGCAAATTTGGAAAACTCAACAATGGCCACAGAATTGGAAAAGGTCAGTTTACATTCCAATTCCAAAGAAAGGCAATGCCAAAAAATGTTCAAACTATTGCACCATTGCACTCATTTCACATGCTAGTAAAGTTATGCTTAAAATCCTACAAGCTAGACTCCAGCAGTATGTGGATCGAGAACTCCCAGAAGTACAGGCAGGATTTCGATTTACTGCTGGGGAGGAAAGCTATGGCAAATCTAGACAGCATACTAAAAAGCAGAGACATCACCCTGCCAACAAAAGTACTTATAGTCAAGGCCATGATTTTCCCAGTTGCAATGTATGGCTGTGAAAGTTGGACCATAAGAAAGGCTGAGTGCAAAAGAATTGAGGTCTTTGAACTATGGTTCTGGAGAAGACTCCTGCGAGTCCCCTGGACTGGAAGGCGATCAAATCGGTGAATTCTAGAAGAGATCAACCCTGACTGCTCTTTAGAAGGCCAGATTCTGAAGTTAAAACTCAAGTACTTTGGCCACCTAATGAGAAGGAAGGACTCACTGGAGAAGAGCCTAATGCTGGGAAAGATAGAGGGCAATAGGGGACGACAGGGAATGAGGTGGCTGGATGGAGTCAGTGAAGCAGTAGGCGTGAGCTTAGATGGACTCCAGAAGATGGTAGAGGACAGGATGGCCTGGAGGAACATTGTCCATGGAGTCGCGATGGATTGGACATGACTTCACAACTAACAACAACAACCACACAGACCAACATTTAGAACTGAGGCAGGGCATTTGGCCTTGTTGCAAGTGGTAGCAACTGGAATATTGGTTTGAATTATGCTTTTCTCAGCTGCCCCTTATTTTAAATCTGCTCCATTGTTTGCTTTGCAACATTCCTTTAAAATAAAAATAAGACATGTCATAAATTTGTGGATATTTCAACAATTATCAAGTGTATGATCCAACAATCATAAAGTTTCTTGCAACTGCAGTTTTTATGAAAGGCAAAGCAGAAATCCTCTAGAAGACTTTTGTGATAGAACTTTGCCATCAGGAAATTCTCTTAGTTCAAGTTTGGATTTCTTACTATAAAGCAGTGGTTCTCAACCTGTGGGTTGGGACCCCATTTGGGGTCGAACGACCATTTCACGGGGTCACCAAACAACACAGTCCACCATTTTTTCCCCTTTTCCTTAGCTGTGTGCCACTCCCTTTTATTCTATTGGCTTTTGAAAGCCAATAGAATAGGCTCTCTTGAATAGAGTCTAATTCTATTGGCTTTCAAAAGCCAATAGGAATTGTCCAGGCTGTCTCTGCCCTGTTGAACCCGCCAAAAGTCCCATTCTGCAAACGGTGCTGCATCAGTTGAGTAGTCCTCGACTTACAACCGGTTGAGTAGTCCTCGACTTACGACCGGTTGGGGGGTCACAGCATTAAAAAGGTTGAGAACCACTGCTATAAAGCTTCTACCCACTAGTTTTTATCTAACTGTTGAGTGCTCGGGAGCAGCGGTCCTCAACCTTTCTGGCTTTGCAGACTGACAGTGGCAGTGGCAGAGGTGGGGACGGAGATGGAATGGTTCTGCAAAAGTGGTGGGGCCATGCACTTGCGCACACCTGCTACTTGCAGAAATGGAACATCGCGCACTTGCTCACTTGCCCATTGCTTACATGACTTGGTTCCCAATGGGCTGCCGCTCAGTACCAAGCTGTGGCCTGGGAGTGGGGACCTCTGCTCTGCAGAATAAATCCATGTCTTGCCATCCTCCATTCTGTCAACCCTTTATGTATGGAAATACAGTTATCATTTTTTCCCTTAGTCTTCTCTTTTTTAAGCTAAACATACCAAGTTCCTTTCACTGTTTGGATTTAGCTTTCAAACCCATACCATTTTTGTTTCTCTTCTCTGCATGCTTTCCAGGTCCTCAACATCCTTTTTGTATTGTGGTGTTTGGAATTGAACACAACTAAACACTGAACTGAATACAGTTTGGAACTGTAATCCAAGTGTGGGTCTG